AAAATCATAGAGAATTCAATAAAATTTTATTTAAAATTAATCCCGCCAAAAACCATCTGCAGTCCGAGACCACAGGATGCAGAGTGGAACTTTATTGTGGTTTTTCAAAAATACGTTATCTTGTCTTACGCGTGTGAATTCTACAAGTCTTAATTTATATCAATAATAATCACGACACCTTACCTATTTCTGCTGACAAGCAGAAATGTGAGCATTACTGGGTTCCAGTTGTGAAGGGTGCTGGTGAAATTTAGGCCTAAGGGACTTGTCAACTTATTCTCATGGTGACGGGTGCAGTGGCAGTACCCTTCAGATCTTTGCGATTTAAAGCTCTGAGTGGCATGGTATGGGTAGGAGTGTCATGCGCATTGTGGTACCTCACAAGGCGCACGTCTTGTTCGCCTCTTGATACTTTGATACCATAGAAAAAAGGTTCCACTGCCACTTCAGCTTATTCATTTTGCGAGTTACGTTGGTTACTTTAGTTCTCTGTTTTGTGATGTCATTACTATTGTTATTTGATTTATATTAAATGAATTTCCTGTTTGCACATTTAAATAATTTCGAATACGTACCTATGATTAATTAAACAATACCATACCTATGTAGTATTTCTTTTGTTTCACACTCGAGTTTCAATTCTCAACCATTTTTGGTATTGTCCTACGGCTATTGGTGCCCCGCGATTGCACGCTGCACGTCTGTTGGGGTCGGTATCATAATGACTACATCTTCAAAATAACCTGATCAGCGTGCGGACTAGATGGCAAAACGATCACCTCTGCAGATAGACTATAATTTACAATAACTTGGTAGCAAAACGACTAGATATCGAAATGACCATATCGTTAAATGGACCACATGGTAAAACGACAATTTAAAATATTTATCCATCTTAGAATTGGGGTTCATGAACAATTTGATGATGAACAAAGGTCAAGTGTAAAAATAGTTTAAAATGTATTAATTTTATTTTATTTATTTAAACTAAATGGCATACAAAACAGTACAAATGGCGAACTTAATGCCATTAGGCATTCTCTACCAGTCAACCGGAAAGCTGGGTTCAAAATAATTAACAGGGATGCATAACATGATAATTAAAACAGATAGCAAGAAGTTTATAAATAATTATGATAGATAGTTTAAACACAATATAAATATAGCACATAATATTATATGACTAACTATAGACTTATATAAGCAACCTATATACACATAAATACATAATATATAATACATACACATATAGGTATATTTAATATATATAACAATGGCAGACTAATGGGATATAGATTGAGACTCCAATATGACATCGCGGACTAATTGCTTGAAAGCTAGTTTATTCGGAGCTTTTTGAATATGGGGCGGTAGAGCGTTCCAGAGTCGTGTTGCCTGAAGAGTAAACGAGTTAGAAAGAAAACCAGTACTGAATTAAAAGAGTCAATTTTCTGTCAAAATTACATGGAACTGATGGGACTAATTAATACATGTCAAGCTTACAATTGTTCCACATGGAACTGAGTACATGGAACTACTTAGAGTTAACAGAATTAGGGAACAGGTCGTGTGACACCTTACTGTGATATCCTAATGGTGTGATCTACCGCTTGTCAAGCAGACACCGTGGTGGGTTCGAATCCGGGCTCGGACCTCTGAGTTTTTTGGAATTCATTCAAATCGACTATGAGCTGTTCGGTCAATGAAAACATCGTGACCGAATTTGCGCGTCGAATAAGGTTCACAACCCTCGGAAAATGTCTGAAGTCACGAATCCGTGTTGAGCGAACTGTAGCCTAAATCCTCGCCTGAGAGGAGACCTGTGCCCAGCTGTGGGACGTACAAATGGGTTGATGTTGTGACACCTGAAAAGTTTTCTTTTATAATATCAAGTTATGGAACGAACAAGTCGTGCGCCTGATAGTAAGCGACACGCCTGTCCGTACCAGTTGCAACGCCACTCAAATCTTGAAATCGTAAAGATCTGAGGCGCACTGTATGTGCCTGTAATTTCACCACCACGCTTACCCTTGAAAACCGGAACACAGTATTTCTGACTACTGCTTAGCGGCAGAAATAGATAATGTGGCAGGACTTCACTGGACGAACTAAATCTCTCACAAAGAACTCTACTGTTACTTTTTTGTAAGTGTAGTTGTAAGCTACTAGTTATCTAGAAATGAGAAGACCTGTCCATAACAGTGATATGTCCAGAGCATGCCATGTTTGACACTTGAGATTTAAATTCAACTATTAAACTTATTACAAAAATGGTCCAAAGGCCAAATTGTCTAGCTTGATATACCCTTGACTGTATATGACTTTGACGACCTCCGTGTTGTTCTTCTTGTCCATAACTAATGCATTCGCAGTTTGGCATCTTTCGAGATTTTTTTTTTATAATATCAAATGACTGGACGAACAAGTCGTGCGCCTGGTGGTAAGCTACTCGCCTGTCCATAACCGTTGCACTGCCATTGCGTCGGTCACTCTGAGACATAAGTTGACAAGTCGCACGTGCCTGTAATTTCACCAGTACCCTTACCCTTCAAAACCGGAACACAGTAATGCTGACATTACTGCTTGGCGGCAGAAATAGGTAAGGTGGCAGTACTTCCCTGGACGAACTCTTTCACAAGGAGCTCTATCGCTATAAGCTCAACCAAGATCTTGGCACCTAAATTGTTTTTTCTTTGCAAAATGTCAATTACGCTGATTCTGTTTAACAATAAAAGTGGCACGGTTTGTTAGAAGACGGTGGTTTGAGTCCAGCCGGATCTATAACTGCCTCCGTGGCCGAACGATTACCATGCCGGACTGCCACGTAGAGGTCCCAGGTTCGATTCCCGGGCTGGGAGAAATGTATGTGTGGTCTACATTTATGTCTCTCGTAAGATTGGGTGTAATTTGTGGTTGTCTATGTGTACTCGTATGTCCATGGCACTCGTGACACAGGGTTTCCCTAGTGCGGGGCTATGTTGAGTGTGTGCGTTGTTTGTTTTGTTTGTTTGTTATCTTCGTGTTAATAATAATAATAATACAACTGAAACTAAATAAGATATAAACACATCGCTTATAGAGCGTTGTAGATCTTGTTTCGTTGATTCCAGGATATGCTAATAACCCAATTTTGCTATGCCGATTACGTTAGTTATAAGAGAGCAGCGTGGTTGAGTGACTTGCACATCGGTTTTCATGGTGTCGCCATCTCTGAGGTCCCGAGTTCGGTCCCCGGCCTTTTGAAATCAGTATGACTGATTAAACTCTACTGCTCATTCGTAAGGCAGATTCCTTTGAGAAGAATGAGCAAGAAACTCTAGGGGTTGCTCTTTGTAAATATAGATTTGAAAACATTTATCATTACAATATTTAATTTAAATATCGAGAATACCTGAAAGAGCTAAACTTGTCACTACCAAGGATTATGTGATCCAAGTACGCAGAAGTTGTATAATAAACCTTTAGTATAAAGTTGTTGTTTCACAATAGTTTTGAACCTCGTAAATGG